ATAAGAGTTTTTAAATTTTGTTTACTGAAAAAAAAGCAGGTTACGACATACCGAAATTTTGTGCCCTGATTCATATATCAATATACTGTAAAGTATGATTAATATATTCCAGTATTCTGAAATATATATTAAAATAATATGTAGAGCTATTTTTACTTATTATATTATATTTAAGAGTTGTAAATTAAAAGTTGCGTGTGTACGTACAGTACGTATCATACATATCACAAAGGAAATCACGCTTTTTTAAAATTATTTCTTGGAATTTCTTTCTGTTCTAGCCAAAAAAAAGCAAACTTAAGATTTTATTATTTAAAAAAAATTGCACATATTCGATTGTTTTGATGAGATCTGCTTGGTCTAATCGTGAAACTTTATCAGTGTTTGATATCCTCGAAACGCACCCGTCAGTAGAATATGAACTTATAGAAATGTGAGAAATCTAACTATAAACACGATAATGAGTTCTCGAAGTACAATATTTTATTGTGGAATTAAAGTTTGGACAACCGTAGTATAATATTGTAGCGTCCAAAATATTGTAAGACCTGGATACTTTAGTGAATGGTAATTATACAGCACAAACTAAGCGTAATAGTTTCACAATTTTTCAGAGACTTTTCATTATCTCCAATATTTGTTTTGTGAAACGATTAATTTTTTAACCATCTTACTCTTTTATATCATTGCCATATGTTGATATTATCAGGATCAATTCTAATATAAGTTGGTGGCGCGAATGTCGTATAAAGTTAAGCTTCCAAAAAATATTCAGATAAAATTTTTGATGGTTTAGTTATAGTTAGAGCTTGGATTCGTAATGGAAACAGATAAATATCTGACCCTGGCGCAAAAATTAAATAATTCAATTTTGTATGTTAAAAAACAAGTATAATTCAATTTATGTGTTATAAAACAAATATATCAATTACAAGTTACGAATGCAATAAACTGATTCATAATTATCTCTAGATCGACTTGAACTATAAATATTCTGTGCTTACAGGCGAGATGGTTAATTTAAAATTGAAGTTCATCATTATATGAGTACCATTTTCTTCCCGTCATCCATTATAATTTCACAAGTGAAAGTCATACCCTCCTTTCGAAAATATTCCCAGACGAAAGTAGGTCTACTTTTAGACATATGGGTAGTTGTGTTTTGACATTCTCTTTATTACAAGATTCCTACCGTTCATTAGTACTTTTGTTTTGCTCTATATTTATATTATGAAATTGTTTTTAAGTCTTTATTTTTATTAAAAATTTGCTACTGCCGTAGTTTATTTTAAGTTTTAAGAGTTACGTATAATTATGTAAAAATTACGACATTATTTATATACATCAATAATTAACTCGTGAGTACTCGCGAGTTAAAAAGTTTATGATTCGAACTCGAATTATTCGAGTCACGAATTGACGAGTCCAGTCACTAGGGTACATTGGATGTTCTATGAGTTCTAGTTGAAAAGTGTCATGACAAGCAAATTTCATGTTGGTACGTACGTATGTACGTACATAAATACATTGAGAAGCAATTTGAATATATCTTACAAGCCTATTGCTATAATCTTTATTCTCCGTTACGCTTTGTCATAAAAAAGTTTATTTGACACCTGTCTTATTTTTTAACTCTTTATCCTCTTCATTTTGTCAAATTAAAATACTTATTGAACATTGTATGATATGCAGTACAATGAATTAACAAATGAAGAGTTGATCTAAGGGTTTGATAAGTCAAAGTCAAAAATTGTAGTGTAGAGGAAAATACCGATCAACGATTTAGCAACTGATCGGGAAAAATGACATTTTTTCTACCAAAAAAAAGAAAGGACACAAGAAAATCGATTTAATAGCTGTTGTTGAAAAAAAGAAAAAACTAATTACAACACTTAAATTTGTTCTTGACGAAGAAACAATTTACTATGTACAAGAATGCTTGGTGCTTACGTGATCAGTAATATATATATATATTATGAAATTTTTATTTGCAATAAAATTTATGTAATAAAAATTCATATACTTGTAATATTTACGATTAATGAATTTTTTACTGATTTCGTAACTTTTTAAATTACGAATGACAATTATTTCGAAGTGATATAAATTAAAAATAATGAATAATAATAAGTACGCATTCGCCTTCACCTTAGAAACATAAGTTTTTCATGGACATTATTCATAAACAGCTTCGTTTTAAAAAATTAGGAATTAAGCTACATCAAAATGCAGAATAAGTTGTTTACTACACCTTCAGCTCGAACTCAGTGTAATAACAAACCACAAATTTTCGTTATCCACGCAAAGACTAGGATCATGTGATTATGTCATCTTACAGCCAGCTTGCCATTCTGCCAACACTCGCTTCTATGTCATATATATTACTTACGTTGATTCATTAAAAATAAATCTGTATTAGCTCAAATAAATTTAGAATGGGTTAAGAAAACTACCGTTTGGATTTTCTAACCGATTTTAAACTTTTTAATTTTAATTAAAATCTTTGTTCTTATTTACGTAAGATTTTGTCCCAATGTCGAATTAACAAATTAACGGGATATTTTAAACTAAAAAAAAATAAAAAAATAAAAAAAAGCAATTCTAAGATATATTGCTCTAAAAACAGAATAACAAGAATAAGTGATTTGGCATTAGACGATAAAATTGCTTATTCGCTAAGTTTGTCGAATTTTTAAAAATTTGACTCAGTTGATTCTTAGTTGTATACATAAAAGATTTATGAAAAATAGACAAATTAAAATGGTGTTTGGCGGGAAATATTTTTATTTTACATAACTATAATAAGAGTTATCGACTTTACCATAATCGAGTCAACAAATTTTGGTCGAATGAAAACATTAAATTGTCAATTACACATTGAATTTAGATATGTGATCTTGCTTGTACGCATGAAAAATTTATATAAAACATCAATCACATCTTCGAAAAGCATTGCACGAACGTGATATATAATTAGTTGGTTATTAGCGCCAGACATTAAACTTTATTAAATAATTTTTATTCCGGAAATAGCAACTATTATTGCGCCGGTGTTATCGTTATGCCCAAATTTTTATTTTTAGTTAGTGTCATATTATTCTATCATCATTTTATGTACTTCATATTTTGGTATAGTTTGTGGCATAGTTGGATGATTAAAACCCTGAACGAGGGTTAATAACCCTTAACAAGGGATAATAACCCTCAGCGAGGGATTAAAACCCCATACGAATCAGTTATTAATAGTATTTATTATTAGATCTATCGGTGAGATTAATGTTAGAGTTCCCAAAACAGGCAACTGATTAAAAGGTACTCATCTGAATTCATATGCTCTTACGCGCCAGTCATCTCATTGATTTCCCAATTCGGTCAAAACCGAAATACCCGATTTCGGCTGGTATCTTAGTCCACACAATTAGCTGTATCCTGCTTAGCCATCTATTGACTTTCCGTCAACTTGAAAAAGCACTATCAAACGGTTGAAGTGTATTGCGGACGTTTTTTTCAATATAATAACATTACCAAATGAATATTACTACCGAATTTTAATAACCTTAGGTCTAATTATAAAAATTTATTTTCATGTGCTCTTGTAAACCGTTAATGGTGTAGAATTGTAATCCCAATATCGTGGAACGAACCGAAACATTCTTTCCAAGATAAAAGACTTATAGAAATAATCCTTTTAACATTAAATACTCAAGAGAAAACTCTATTAACTCCTTTTAAAATCACCATTCCAAATCACCCAAAACCGTTATTTGAATACACTAGTTACTGTATATCGCATCCCTTAACGATTATTTATATTATGATATAAGAATCTGGCTTATTGATGAAGGATGTGAAATAGGATGTAGTCTTGAAAATGCCGCTAGATGTTCTTTGATTGCGATGTTCCTACGAACTGGCAAGAGTCTTAAACATTTAAGCCTTATTGAAATTATTTGCAATCAAATGATATTTGAAAACCTCAATGAGAACACAACTGTTACATCTATGGCGTTATATAAAACTAGTATTGATCTTAAATTTAAAACAATAGATGTATTAATAAAAATTCTTATAAAAATTCTATTTTGACTTCTTTGAAAATTACGAATATTAGCCTTGGATTAGTTGAAGGAAGAGCTTTAGCTGATTCACTTTGCAAGAATTCCACACTTACCGCTTTGAAACTTTGGAATAATGATCTTAAACCTGAAGGAGGTAAAGCATTATCTGATGCACTTTGCGAGAACACTACTTTGACTTCTTTAGATATTGGTCTGAATTATCTTGAACCAGAAGGATTAGCTGGTGCACTTTGCAAGAACGTCACTCTGACTTATTTGAAACTTAGTATGATATTGGATCAGAAGGAGGAAAAGCATTAGCAGATGCACTTTGCAAGAATTCCACGTTAAAAGAATTGAATCTTAATCATAAAAGCTTGGATCAGAAGGGGGAAAAGCATTAGCAAATGTACTTTGTAAGAATACCGCGCTGACTAATTTGAATCTTAATAATAATAATCTTGGACCAGAAGGAGGAAAAGCATTACAAGATTCACTTTATAAGAACACCACGCTGGCTTTTTTGAACCTTTATTATAACAATATTGGTTTCAAATTAACAATAATAGAAATAGCACAATAACAAATAACTCAACATGGTAAATTGCTCATCACACAGTTAATATAAATACAAAACATTATAACAAATCTAATCCTTCTGTCATTTCAAGAAATAGGTGATTATATGCTCTTTTTTTTTTTTTAACAAATAGTTGGTATAAACCATGTACTTACATAATATTATTTTAATTGCTTAAGGAGAAAAACAAACCGAGGTAGATCTTAAAAAGAAAAAAAGAACCCCAAACTCACACTGATTTATGTAACTATAAAATATATAACATTATGAGTAGACCTTGAACAATTATAATGAACAAAACTTAAAAAGAAAAAAGAGACCTAAACTTGTGGCTGATTTATGTAACTATAAAATATATAATTTTATAATTCATCAGGTTTCATAAAATAATTAAATAAATTTCTTATTTTTTTAGTTGTTAAAGCTGACCTTGAGCCAATTCCTCCCACTGGATTCCCGATTTTTGTAGAATCGTTGTACTGATCTGGAAAGAACAGTCTTTGTTTCTCTAAACAAGGTTGTCGATGAAGAAATACTAGAGATCTATTTTTGGCAAAAGTTACCTTAAAATGGCCATTGGCTACTTATTACATAGGCCCCAATGGGAGTTGTTAGAATATCCAAGAGACAGTGCACTTGAGCACTTTCTCTTTAATATAGCAAAGCATAGATATTTTTCTACTTATTTAGTAAAAAAAAATTGAGAGAAGAGTTATGGCAATGGCTACCAATAAAATCTTGGCAGGCTATGCCATAATGCTAGGCCTGCATAAGCTTAACAGCATAATATTCCCACAGGTAAAAAAGCTACACAGGGATCTTTTAAAGCTTATATTAGTGCATATTATCTTGCATGCGGGGACAGATGACCTACAAGTTTTTGGAGAAATTAATGTCTCCACTATATGACATTATAATCAAAAAAGTGGCATCGGATTTAAATGATTTGTATGCTATAGCATCAAATTATTTTATGATGCCGTGGATTAGTGATACTGGGCGTCTTTAATTTGTAGGTACATTAAACAATATTGATCATTTAGAAAAATGATGTATGATGGTGGTGGTATATTGAATTCGTTGGAATCTAATATTTAGATAGCTCTTAGGATAAAAGGATAAGAATGTACTTAAAGAATACTTAGGATAGTGAGAATAAATTAGATTCAATGTATTCTTTTATATGTAAAATTAAATATATAAGGAGTTCTTCTCCCGTAATAAAGATAATTAGATAGAGTTCAAAACTTATAACTCAAAGAAAGTTCAACATTATAAAGGTGTTTGCTCTACTGATAAGTCAAATTCGTATAGAATTAGTGTAGTCTAATCCTGTAATCCCAAATTAGAGAAATCTTCCGCAACTCTTTTGTAGATCCGATTCTGAGCAGTTACCACTTTCTCAACATACAATGGCTGATCATGTGATTAGTCAACAATACCAATTGTTATAACAAATCCAAGGGCGATTAATGAATAATACCATGGGTAATATGTGTACAAATGAAACGAAATAAAAATGAAATTCGCATTAATACAAAATTGCCAGGATTTTGCCATTAAAAATCGGTTGTTATGGTCTAGATGCATACATTACTTAAATGCGCAAAACATCTATAACGTTTAGTATGAAGTTAAGCATCATCACTATTCTTTATTAGTTTCTGGAGCTTAATCCGAGAATTCCAAAATTTATTTTGGGAATTATAGATTAAAAATCAGTATTTTTGAAAATAAATTTATGAGCGTTATCATACACAATATAAATTGTAAATGTAAATTTTTTGCTAAATCCAAGAAATGCAATATAAACTTTATCAAATGTTAGAAAGTCGTTTATTATGTGTTTATTATGATTTACTGTACTTATATTTAACTATATGATGAGCCATTTGTCATGTTCAGTTTATTTGTTATTGTATTATTCTTATGCTTCATTGTTTGGTTTCAATTTAAAATTAATATCATTATTATGAAGGGCCAAAGAAGCTAACGTGGTGTTCTTACAAAGTGAATCTTCTAATGCTTTTCCTCCTTCTGATCCAAGGTTATTACATGCAAGCTTTAAAGAAGTCAGCGTAGTGTTCTTGCAAAGTGCATCTGCGAATGCTTTTCCTTCTTCTGATCCAAAATCATTACTATTAAGTTCCAAAGAAGTCAGCGTGGTGTTCATGCAAAGTGCGGCTGCTAATGCCTTTCCTCCTTCTGATCCAAAATTATTTTTATGAAGATCCAAAGAAGTCAGCGTAGTGTTAATGCCTTTCCTCCTTCTGATCCAAGATTATTCCATCCAAGATTCAAATAAATAAGCGTAGTGTTCTTGTAAAGTGTATCCGCTAATGCCTTTCCTCCTTCTGAACCAAGATTATGTTTATAAAGATCAAAAAAAGTCAGCTTGATGTTATTGCAAAGCGTATTCGCCAATAGTTTTTCTCCTTCTGATCCAAGATTATTATAACTAAGATTCAAATAAGTCAGCGTAGCGTTCTTGCAAAGTGCATCCGCTAATGCCTTTCCTCCTTCTAATACAAGATTATTTTTATGAAGATTTAAAGAAGTCAGCATAGTGTTCTTGCAAAGTGTATCAGCTAATGCCTTTCCTCCTTCTGGTCCAAGGTTATTACCATTAAGATACAAAGAAGTCAATGTGGAGTTCTTGCAAAGTGCATCTGCTAATGCCTTTCCTTCTACTGGTCCAAGGTCATTATTATAAAGATTCAAAGAAGTCAAAGTAGAATTTTTATAAAGAATTTTTACTAATACATCTATTATTTCAGATTTAAGATCGGAACTAGTTTCAAACAACGTCATTGAGGTAACAGTTGTGTTCTCATAAAGATTTTCAAATATCATTTGATTGCAAATAATTTCACTAAGGCTTAAATGTTTAAGATTCTTACTAGTTCGCAGAAACATCAAAATCAAGGAACATTTAACGGCATTTTCAAGATTACCGTATTTTCGCGAAATAACAGGCCGGGGCGTTATTTAGAGTAATGGCCCGAATTAAGCTTACAGCTATTATCATAATTCCTGAAACACCTGATAAAAATTAGCCGAATGATTGTTTGGCCGATTCGGTTAAGTT